TTTGTGAGAAGCCACAAACAAAAACAAACCCACATACACTTAGCATGACCTCTCTGCATACTTCTGCATAGAAAGAAAACTCATAGGTTCTTCCAGTTCCTGCTGTGATTATGCAATTCTCTGATTTAGTAAGTATGGCATCTGCCAATTGCACTGCATTAATGCTCTCAGTTCAACCCTCATAAAACCTAATAGTTGGATATAATTCCACACTGCTGGCAAGCTTGCAGCATTTCCTTGTACTGGATCATAAATGCTCCCACCAAATTACCTTTTGTTCCCTCTGTAGAGAGTGCCCAGCAGAGGCTTACCTTAACCACTGCTGCCTTAAATTCCTTTAGTACTCATTTTTCTTAGGAAGCATGAACCACACCAGGAATTCAAAATACCAGTGACCCCAGCTGTGTTCTCAGTCTAAGAGACTGCAGCCTTGATAAGTTTTGAAACTTGGGACTGCTACAGAGCTTTCTTTTTCTCCAGTGCTTTCAAGGTTACAAGCAGCAGAATGGCTCAGTACTTCAGACAGTCCAATGAAACCACAGTGACTTTTATAAAAGGCAGGGTCAAATGATGCTTTTAATAAGAAATTTTTATCTCCTTTGTGGAAAAAAAAATCCAGTAGGATTCAACAGAGCACGTTTCTTCTGTGATAGTTGTCTTTGGCATAACTCAAAGCAAAGCAACCTTTTGGGTATTGCTGCATCGCAGTCCTGCAGGAAACAAGATTCAGGTTCAAACCTCCATCTCCTGAACTCTGTGCACGTGCAGGGACCTGCAGCACTCCTCCACCAAAAACCTGTCAAAAAGTCCTTAATGAAAAATGTTAAGGTCTGTGGCTATATTTCTCAGGGGATCTCTCATCACCTTACACTATGAATTTCTTCATCTGCCTCCTTCGTGGTCTGAGGATTCTCTTCTTCAAAAGGAAAGAGCCCTCCTGAGTTGCATTTTTTTAGAGGAAACTGGTATTCAGCAAGGCAATAGATGTCACAAAATTTTGCTCTAAATGGCCTGTACGTACGACTAGTAAATTGTTGACCAGAAACAAAGAACTTTTCAGATTATAAAGACCTTTTCCTCATTTACCACATTTGTTTACAGTGTAGAGAGCTAGTTCTCCTAGTATGTATCATCAACTCCAAGTGTCAGACAGAACCTAGCATCTGAGTCAAGTATTTGCTGGGTTTTAAGTGCCTGCATGAAGATGTAAACTCGGAAGAGGAATATTTACAGCCAAACAAAAACACTTATTTCCCCAAGGGAATTTTAAACCTTGAATGAACTATGAGTATTGATCTTACTCTAAATCTGTGGAAATGAGTTTCTGTAAAACTGAATTAAAGACCTTATTATAGTCTTAATTTACCCACTATTTACCAACAATACTTCAAACCACTCTTTCAGAGGAAATGACAATGACAAAAAAAACACAAAAACAAAAAAGGAAGAACCAGGAAGAAAGTTAAAAAAACCAAGATGACTTCTTTAGAGGGAATCCTTAGGAAAATATAGAAAATATATATGATATGCAAATAGGATTTGCTCTCAAATGTCACTAGGATTCTCTAATCCAAATGTCCCTGTTTACATACCATGTACAGATAAAAAAACAAACAATACGAATGCAAACAGATACAAATGTTGTCTCATACTGTATTTCTTTTGATATTTCTAAGATAAAGAGCTATGATAAAAGCTGAAGGTCCTAATTTGTAATGGTGAAAGTTTGGTTTCAGTTATTGGGGTTTTTCTCAGAGTAAAGCTCAGGCAACATACAAAATGTTACTATTTCAGCAGTAGATAAATGCTAGATAAACACACCTTAATAGTAGTTTATCCAATAAAAATAATTCTACCCCCATCTGAATGCTCATGCCTGGAGACAGCAGCAGTCCAATGAATATAAATTATATCAGGATTCTGGAACATGCTTTGACAGAATAAAAATTACAATAACAGCCTCCTAATTCTGACTGATGACATTTGCAAAAGAATGTAACACTTCCAAGACTTCTTGTGGCAACACTTCAACAGCGAGCCCTCAAGTGTACAACTGGAAGCCTTAACTGCTGTGTGAGTCTTCAACAGACCGTCTGCTTCACCTCGCTAAATTCATGTCATATTCAGTTTGGCTACTATAAAACAGACACACACACACAAACATTGAGTCTAAGAACCTCCATCCTGGATTTATAGCATTTTTTATCAGCAAAAGTGAGGTTCTGCCCGGGCCCAGGGGAGGCTGCATGGATGCACGGGTGGATGGATGGATGGATGCATGGATGGATGGATGGATGGATGGATGGATGGATGGATGGATGGATGGATGGGATGGATGGATGGATGGATGGACGGCTGGCTGGCTCCTGCAGAGGAGCCGCAGCCCGCGCGGCCGCCGCTGCGCCCTCTGGCGGGGACAGCACCGCTCCGGCCACTGCAGCCTCGCACCCTGGTCACAAAAATTTGGGTTTTAAAAACCCCCAGAGACAGCCAGGTAAGTTCCAGCGTGCCTAGAAAATTATTACACTTGAATTGTTCCGACCTGATTTTACCAAGCAAAGTGATTCTGAGGAGCTGGGGAAAAAAAAAAAAAAAAAGGCCTTTGTATTATTTTTTCATCTGTGTTGAAATCAGAGCATATTCCTTTGGTAGCATCAGAAATCCTCCACGGCTCCAGCTCTGCCAGGGCTTACTAAATGTTTCCATTTCCTGATACTGTTATTCCATTCATTTTCAATAAGGTGTTTTGTTACTCACTATTTGTAGAATACCTCAAAAACAGCCTCCCATTAAGAATTTGTAGCTACTTCAAAAATTTATTCTTTATTTTAATTCTTTAAAGGTTTTATCTGAGCTGATCTAAAGGGATAAAGTAGGTGCTAAATACAGTAAAACTTTGAAACATTACTTTTTATTTTGACTCACAGGACCTGAAGTTGAATTTCTGGTTTTACATAATAACCTGTTCTCACCGATTAGACACAATCTCTCACTGCATTTTTCTTCTCCAAATAGCAGCAGTATTGAAAACAAACAGCTAACAACAACAACAACAAAAGGAAATAAACCTCTAATTCTGTAAATGGCATTTAATTATTACTATCATAAAATAGATTTCTTAAGCAAGAGGACCAGAAAAGATGCCCAAGTTATAAACATCTAGCTGTCAAAACTAAAATCAGGTTGCCCATCTTCCTAGTTAAAGAAAACAATTGCTTGGCATATTTTCTTTAGACTGTATTAAATATCAGAATAGTATTTGTCTGATTATAGACTCCTTCATACTTTGTATCCATATATTCAGGAAGATATAAGACATTACTAAATTACTTATGGATAAGCAATCCATTGGTATACCTTCTATTTAGCACCTCCTGGTGCAGACATAATACAGCTTAATAGCCTAAATCAGTGATGTGCAGCTTTTATTTGTCCACTGATAAATTATATTTGACTTAGTCAGCACTAACATCTTATTGTCTGGCTGGAAGATAATAAACTTTGTGAGCTCAATCCAGAACATAGTAATTCTCTTTTTCTAATCTCACTCCATACTTTTTTCCCTTATAATTAACGTTAACAAATACCAAGATTTGTTGGCTATAGCTCCAAGTGCAGCAACATGCGGTTTGCAGTAGTACATGAAAAGTCTCCTCCTGTTTTTTCCCTTTGGCCCCAAGTGACATGTGAGCCCCGGCAACCTGCTGAGCTACCTTGTCATTTAACAATTCCAAAACTCAGTGGTAGGCCCCTGGCTAGGAAAATCCTGCTCTGTCTAGCACATAATCTCACTGGTTATTTAAAAAAACTACCCAGTCTCTCTTGTTCGGGTCAGTTACACGGTGACCACTAAACTTATCACGCCTGTATCAAACCTTTAAGAAAAGGAAGAAGGGGCAGTTCTATTGCACCAGGGAAGCCCACACAGTGGGCGTGTTTCATCTGATAATAATCTGGCTGGTGTTTCAAATATACAGGCACAGCTTTTGGAAATACCTGTAAACAAGAAGGTTCTGCAGGCAAGGTCCCCTGACACACAAACCCCACGACTTTTCTACTATCTGCAAGTGCTATCCCCCAGCTTTCCTTTAACAGCTTTCCCCTCCACAGCACAGGAATGCAGGATAGAGAAGGCTTTAGTGATCAAAAGGGAACTCCATGCTGAGGGAAACAGTGGCCCAAGAGAAAGCACTACAGGTGCTGTGTGTCACGCATTAACAGGTGTTTCAGAGAAGGACTGACAAGAGGACCCCAATACTTCACAAGCAGACTTAGTCAATGAAGCGAGCTCCTCGCTCCTAACGAACAGGTCACACAGCCCCGTGGGGCTTCTTCCATTATCCTGGTCCTTCTCTAAACGCTCGGTTTCCAGAGAAGGCTGCAAGCTACTGACTTCTGCGGGGGAGGAGAGTGCCCGCTAGCATTCCCAGGCAGGATCTGCAGGGAAACTTTGCCTGCCCCCCACGGCTCGCTGCCGGGAGAGCAGGGGGGCCCCGCCGCGGGCGGGAGGCGGGGGAGGCTGCCGGGGCACCCCAGAGCTCCCGGGGACGCCGGTGCCTCCGTCCCTCCCTTCCCGAAGCTTGAGCGGAGCCCCTCGCGTTTCGCACAGGGCTGGGAAGGAGGCTCCGGGAACACCGCGGAGGGGCTGGGGAGGGGAACAGCACCGGCTGCCGGTGATCGCGGGGCAGATCCATTAAAGGAGGAAAGTCCCGAATTCCCATTAAAATAAAAACTGAAGTCACGGAGAGCTCTTTCCGGAGAAGCCCAGCGTAGAGAAGAGTGAGAAGCCGGGACCCCGGGCCTCCCTCAGGAAGAGGGTGAGCCAGTCCCCGAACGGCGTTTGCCCTCTCCGGGTGCGCGGCCCGTGGAGCTGCCAGCTTAGCCCACACCGCGGGATGCTCCCGAGATGCGGCCCGGCCTCCCGAGCCGACCCGACCCGACCCCGGCCCGGCCGCGCTGCCCCGGGCCGGCCCCGCCCGGCAGGTACCGGCTTCGCTTACCGCGGCTCTGCCTCGGCGTCTCCCCGCCGGAGAGCTGGCAGCGCTCGCTCAGGCACTGGAAAAGTAATAGAAATCCAGCGGCTAGTTTGCTCCTCCGCAGCCTCGCCATAGCACGGAGCCTGCCGAGTCAACTCTCCGGGTGCGGGGTGCGCGCCGCTCCTCGTCGGTGGTGGGGAAGTCTGGGGGGCGGCGGAGAGCAGCCCTAGCAGGCGCTGAGCCGCCCTGTCCTCGGAGCAGCGCTCATGCAGTGGGGCGGCAGGGACGAGCCGCCGGGGCTGAAGGCGCTGGACCGAGTCTGGGGGGCGGTGGAAGGAGGGGGGCTCCGTCCCCCAAACTTGCACGGCCGCGCCGCTCTCAGTCCAGCGGCATCACCGCTAGGGAAAACAAGCCCAGCCTCGGCTGCGAAGTGCCAAACTCTTCCCTCCTCGCAGCCTGCTAATAGATTTTAGGAGAGCCACTGAGATCCTCCCTTCCTGGCTTGCCCCCACCCAGCTCCCTTCCCCCGCAGGGTGAAGCAGTGTTCCTGAGGGACGGAGCCTCTCCTCAGTATACCGCTACCGAAAAAAACCCTCCGAGGGAAACGAGCGACGAAGCGTTCCAGCCGGAACCAGCGGACCGGCCCTGAGCCCGGGAGGGAGCAAGACCCGGAGGGCGGGCGGATGCGCCGCGGGAGAGGATGCGCGGGCGGCGGGAAGGCAGGCGGAGGACGGACGAACAAGTTCTCCTTCTCTTTCAGGGCGGTTCTGGCGGCCGGCGGTGCTATGCGGGGCCGAGGGCAGCCGCGTGGGGCGGGCGTCCCCCCGGCCCGCTCCGCGCCCCCCGCCGCCGTGCGCGCCCGCGCTGCCGCCGCCGCTCCAGTGCGGGCAGGGGGCTCGCCCGGGGCCGGGTCCCGGCCGGCCCCTCGCTCTGCCTCCCGCCCCCTCCGCACAGCGCGGTGGGGCGCAGGCGCCGGGGCTCCGCCGTCTCCCACGCCTCGCTCCGGCAGCAGCACCGCGGGATGCGCCGGCCGCGCTCCGCGCGGAGGTCCCAGGAGGCTCTGCCTGCCCGGCACCTGGCACAGCGCGGCTCCCCGAGCCTCCGGGGCACGGCGTGGAGCTGGGGCTGGCGGCGCTGCGCGGTGTGCGAGCGGGAAGGGGGGGCGGTTGGCATGGGAAGCCCCTCGGGACGGAGAGAGCCTGGGCCAAAACCGCCTGCTTGTTCAAAAGTTGCGTCCAGTAAAAATGAACATGTGAACGTGCGTTTGCATGTTCAAAAACATGCGTCCGTTGGGCGGACGACAACTGCAGTGACACACAAAACCTCCAACCCTGTTCTTCCTCTTTCCCTAAGTCTTCCCAGGGCTTTCGGGGAAAGCAGCCTCCCTCCACATCCCTTCCCCACATCCCCATCCCCTTTCTTCCCACCCTGTAATTTTCTTTTTCTCTTCCCAAACCGAAGACTTGTTTATGTACACTCTTCACATCAAAAGTGCAATGACTAGGAGTTCTTCCCTGGAAAAAAAAAACAAAAACAAAACCAAAAACCACAAACCTGCATGCTTAATTAAACGCACTGTGAATAATCCCATCCCCTACATTAATCTGTGAACAACGGCGCGGAGACAGAAGCGAGCAGAGAGCACATCAGTCAAACCCAGACAAGCGAAAGGGGCACCGGGGACCAGGCGGCAGCTTTTTACCAGTTCAGCAAACTATGGGGTTGGTAATCAGCTGAGCAACCATGTAGAGAACCATGAGTGCACCAGCTTCTCAGCACTTGCTACAAAATAATTAAATTAATTAAATGACAATTAAATTAATCAAATAAAGAGGTCTACAGAATGTCAAACAGCAGATAACTAATAGTTAATCACAGAAGAACAACCACTAACGAGACTGTGTTTTCCCTTAATTTAGCACTGTTCTTGAGGTTAAGAATTCATCATCTCCATTGTCACTGTCTTGCTCTTTAATTGTTGATGTCCTTATGTGTAAATCAAAGCATAACACCTCTGGGTTTAAGAAGTAAATTTGATATATAAGCAGAAATTTGCAACATCTTTTCAATGTATATTTAAATAGGTTACTGGAGGATATTGCCAATAATTTTTCTACATTTAGGTTTATAGTGGGCCTTTCTAGTCCAACTTTTTTGCACATACACCAAAACAAAATAAAAAAGTAGACCAGATATTGCTAAAAATAACTGCAGAAAATGTTTTCTATGAAGATTTTATGCAGCAGGAATTAAATCCTGTCTGTGTTGAAATCTGTGGGAATTCAGGGAGTATTACTACCTTGTGTACCAGGTGATCTGGATTATACCACATGCTTTTGTGCAGATTTGGTCAGGTTATCATTTAAGCTCTTGCTGTTTCTTAAACAAAATGTGAGTCGTAGGCTTCTTCGTGCTATTGGAATATAATTTTTTTTTTTTTTGACAATTGGTTGGATTGCTCAGTTTACACAAAGTTTTTGCTGAAGTTGCTGAGAGGGCTATTGAGCTTTTGGTCTTTACTGGAAGGGGTAGGGAGGTAGTCCTAAAGAAGGACTGCCCCTCTCTCTGCTGTTTTTCAGCAATACTGTTAGATGAGAATAAGAACTGGAATAAGGTAAAAGAAAGGTCTGGAAAACCTTCAAAATCTGTTTTCATCTTCCTTTGTCATTTTTTAAATAATAAGAAAGATTAGATTATTGTAACGTCATAGTAAATCTTAAAATACAAAAGAATGATTTGAGAAAAAAAGTTTACATGATGCTAAAATAAGTAATAATCCTTCAAACCCTCTATCTATAGTATAGAAAAGCCTAAATGAGGGCAAATCAAATTTTCTTTCATTTGCTTTCTGCTTCTCAGTCTTAGAGATGTTTATAGTTTCAGATTTATATTCTTCATAGATGTACTACAAAAACTTTGCATGCTGAAGAAAAGATTAGCAATAGACAACTGAAGCGTGCAGTTGCAGATAAAAGTATTAGCAACATACTAGGTCCCACAGTCCTAATTTGCAGTGCTCTGTGCAGTTGTGGGACAGTTTTGCATTGTGCCTTCTGCAAGGTTAGCACACAGTCACTGCATTCAGTACTTCTTGTGCTCCACAGAAAAAATCAAACTGTGCCCTCCAAGGAAGGCTATAAGTATTGTGCCAGGGCATAGCTGTATCTTGGTATACTTGCATGTAAAAACACAGGCAAAACTTTTTATTTTACTGAGACAACAGCTAATAATGAATCTTACAGCGATTAATGACAATGTCTTTGTTGAAAAGGCATTCACAACAGAGAAGTGTATTTATCCATTGTTACTTATAAAGCATAAGTAAAACTGAAAGAACAACTTCTTGAAGGCTTTCTGAGGCAATGAGCTCTTTTTACTCAGAACACAGTGCCTGTTATAAGTTTTCATTACTTTTATCTTAGCCATCCTTGCACATTATCTCACCTCTCTTAGGTATATATCTTGCAGTGGCTTAAACAGCAGTGGTTCCATAGAAATCAATGAGAACACTTCCATTTTCACCAGTCAAGAATATAGCCTTATAATTTCTCTTCCTGTGTAGCACTACCATCCCTGATTATAACATCAATCACTCAGGAAAGAAGAGTGGGAAGATTCTCCCTGTTCATTGTGTTCTACTTTCGTACTGCTTGCAAGTGCTCACTCTTGCTTACATACTACTTAAGAATTTGCCTGTTTTGTTGTTTTTGTTTTCCTTATTGTTTTTGTATCAACATAGTCTTTTTGACCTACATGCTTTCTGGCCTTATTGCAATCTGACTATGAAACGTAGAGTTTTTAACATTTCCTTGTCTTTTTTTGACATGGTATTAGCTCTTCTGCTTTAATAGGTGCAAGAGAGGCACCTCTCAACTGCATTTCTGTAAGCATCCAGTGCTAGCCTAGAATAATATCTGCTTTTACATTTGAGAAGTCAGGGAAGGATATCTCTGTTTAATTTTGGAAAAAAACCCTGGTAGGTAAACTGCAGCATCCCTGAGGCAGTGGAGAATATATCTGTAATGTCTTTCAAGCAAAAAAAACCAACAGTGAGTTTTTATGTTTAGTGGACCCGCACTTGCTGTTCTGCACAGGGTTGTGTCTGCATATAATTAAAAAGACTACAACCATCAATATCTTCTGCTGCAACTGAGTGTGTCTAGCAAATAACCTACTTTCCCAACTGCAGAAAGAAAAAGATCTAGATAATTTTAGAGCAATAAATAATACTTGATCTGCCAGGATTAGTCCCCACAGGGACAAAATTGATTGTGGAACCCTTATGGAGAAAGTAGTCCACAGCTTGATGTTATGTGTATTGCAGATTGAAGCTGCACATAGCCTTTAATCTCTGGGAGTGAGTTTGCCACTGAGATGCACCTCCCTCCCTTTGGGGTTCTGCGTTGACTAGGGCTCAAGAAGGTGATTAGTGCAGCTATTAGGAATTTGGCTGAGGCATTAGGTTTAGTGCAGTCAAAGAGAGGTGTTAGAGCAATGAACTTAAGAGTGCTGCCCAGCTGGCAGCTGTCTTTGACTTTGCCAGTTCAAAGGAGGAGCACAGCATTTTAGCTGAATCACTAAAGGGCCCTGCAAAACACAGATGTCAAACGCAGAGAGGCAGCTTCCCTGTTAAATAGGGAAATACAATAACTTTCCAGAGGATCTGCACTGCACTCTTAAATAAGCCTTTGTTTCTTCCCCTCTTCCTCTGGCTGGGAGAGCTGAGTCTCACCACTCTACTTGATTTCCCAGGGAAAGCACTGAGGTTCCCTTTCTGGTTGAGTCACATCCAGTAAGCTGCTGCTAAATTCCCTGTAATTCTCTACAAGGTGCTGTATGCAAACACATGAGTTTGCATAATTGTGCTTAATTAGAATATGTCCGTACTGTGGCTCTGAGGGCTGTGCAGTTAATGCCAATGGAGCTTTGTTCAGTGAAGCTTTCTACTTATCTCTAGGAGAGCAGGGTTGCAAACCTCCCACATGTACTGCCTTATGCCTATGCCACGGTGCATGGTTAGAGAGCGGTTCTGTTGAGGTAAAGAGAGTTCAGATTCATGGAGTGGTAGACACTTTGTCATACAGAAACTGGAACTCAACCTCATTGTCTCACACAGTGATGAAGTGGTTCACTTGTAAATTGAGGAAGGGAAAAAAGGAAACAAACGTTACAGTAAGCAATGCAGCATGAAAAAATAATAAAGTTTGAGGGTAAACAAAAAGTTTAATCCAAACCAGTTTTGATTCTTATTCGAGCTCTGTAATGACTTTAAAAGAATGGAATAGTTTTTGAAACAGAACTTCCTTTCAAGATGAGAAACCAAAATGCTCCAGCTAAAGTTCAATTTTTTTGAACTCAAGATGCTTCAAACATATTTTTTCAATGAATCTGCCTTTCCAACAACACTGGCACAGGCAAAAGCAATGCTGCACCAAACAATGTCTTTGACTGCCTGTGATTGGGAGCTTCGAGGATGTTACTCAACTTTGAAAACCACAAGGTAGCAAACCCCAAAACAGGGCCTGGGAGTTCCAAGTCTCACACCCCATCCTTGCAACTGCAGTAAAGTCTGTGTTTGTGACTCTGAGTGAAGTAAAGAAGACCCGGAGTGACCTGAGTGTGAATGGAACTCACAGGTACTCACAACTCAGGGTTGTGACCCTGAGTGAGTCAGGAAGAACTAGAAGGCTTCCTGAATGCTTGTGGCAGGGCCGAGTTTAACAGAGAAGTTAATATTTCAGTATAGCACTGGTCAGCAGGCTAAATTAA